GGTTTGTACATATCTTTGTATGTCCCTGCAAACTTCATGTGGCCATAGGTGGGGAGTTTCTAATGTAGCTGGATTAGAGTATGTGAATATGGATTAAGGGTGTGACTCTAGGATTTATGGTGTGCATAACAGAAGCCACACCATGGGTATGGGTGGCACCAATCTATAAGGTTGTAGCCTGGGTAGAATATAAGAGGACAAAAAGAAGGAAGGCTTGCTGCTGCTGGTGATGTTACTGCTTTTGCCTGCCCTCCCACGAACTGTTCCTCCTCTGTTTTGCCCCTTGGCCATGCCTCCTTGCCTTGGAGGCATCCAATTATGGACTGAAACCACTATAAACTTTGAGCTGAAATAAACCTTTCCTCCTTTGACTTATGGGTTTTGAATATTTTGTCCCAGTAACGAGAAAAGTAGCTAACACAAGGACACTAGGAAAATCCTTTGTTCTAATATTTGATATTTGACTGTGACTCTTGGCACAGAGCTCCTAAACTCCTAAATCCCATGAAATATCCTGAGTGATAGGAGCATCTTCTTTTTCATAAAAAGGCATCTCCTAGAAGCTTCGAGGTGTGGGCTGATTGCTAAGGGAAATAACTTTGTAAGTAAAAATTAGAATGTTCTGTCCCCTGCTCTGGTATCTGGGAAAAGAGGAGCTGAAGGTTGAGCTGACTTCCAATGGGGAATGATGTAATCAGAGTAAAAGAAGCCACCATAAATATTTAATAGAAGTAAAGAGCAGGGTTCCGAGAGCTTCTCATCTGCTGAACACCAGGAGGAGCTGGAAGCGTGGTGCACCTGGGGGCTTTGGAAGCTCTGGCCCCTTCCCACGTAGCTTGCCCTGTACATCGCTTCCTACTGACTTCGTCTACCTCCTCTATAATACAATTATAATAAGCTAGTAAACATTATCAAAATGTTGCTCTAAGCCTGCAAACCATCATACCAAAGTAATAAAAGCTTCCTAAGGAGAGTGGGACTTCAATTAAACTGACAATTTACACTCAGTCTTGTGGGACACAAACCTTAATCTATGGGATCTGACACTATCAAGTGTCAGAATTGAATTGAATTGAATTATAGGAAAACCAGCTGCTGTCTGCAAAAGAAAATTATCCACGTGTATTTGTGACCAGATGAAGCACTGCATTTTGTGTGTAACAGCATTTAAAAAAGACTTTTGTTTTCCTTTGCTTTTTCGTGCACATACATATACACACAGACACACACGTACAAGTAAACACTTACATCCAACTATTTTTGAGGGATCATAGTATTCGCTCATATCAGCATGATCAAAAACATCATCTGGGAATTTTCTTCCACCATACCAGATTTTTAACCCAGTTTTTCATTTTTAAGAGAATTTGTACAAATTAAAGAGACTTTTACAAGGGTCTTCTTTCAAAAAAAATCTATCTTTAGTCTTAAAAATTTATCATTTATATAAAGTCCCCATACTCATTGCATTCTCCCTTTTTTTTGCTCTGGGTCTTGTTTTTTTTTTCTTGATATGTATCAAGTTCATGCTATTTACATGGAAAAATTATAGAAAATATTCATTTTTTGAGTTTCAGTAGGTACTTAAAATGCAGGGTTGCAAAATTATTAAGAACTCATATTTGAAAAGAATGGCATGAGTTTTTTTCCAAGTTATTGAGCTTGAAAAAGTTTTTATAGTAGTAACAAAATATATGAAATTGGGTGAAAGATCAGCATATTATTTGAAAAATTTAAGAAAGTGCCAGTAACTTTATACATATGTCAAAAAAAGAATTTGAAATAGGAAGATGAGAGCATCTTCTATAGTTTCACTTTTCAGTACTTGTAATAATTGCTGCATGCTCCAAATTTGTCCCCTGTCACGGAACAGTCTTATGTCAATGATGTATGGATATCTTAATGTGGAATTATTCTAAGAATATTGAATAAATTACCAAATTCTAGAGCATTTCAATCCTTTGAGGCCTTATTCAACAATTTCATAAGTTGAAGTAATTTCAAACTACGGCCAGGTGTGGTGGTGCATGCCTGTAATTACAACACTCAGGAGGCTGAGGCAGGAAGATTGCCATGAGTTCGAGGTCAGCCTGGGCTACAGGGAGCTCAAGGCCAGACTGAACTGCACAGCAAAACCCTGTCTCAAAAAAAAAAGACAAATAAATAAATATATTCATATACTGCATAGTGAGGTCCTGTCTCAAAAAAGTCAAATTATGCCTAAAAATTAACAATGTTTTCTAAAATGTACTTAGAAAATGTACTGCCATCTATGATATTTTGCAAACCAGAAACCTTAATGTCCTCCTTTCTTTCACCACTTTCTACCAAAATCTAGCACCCAATCTTGACAATTTAATCTCCTAGGACTCACACTGATCTAACACTCTGGTGAGACCATCAGATTAGTCTCATATTTGAAGCTGATTTTTTCTAACTGATTCTATGACCCTGAAGTTCTACTCGATGTACTCACATACACGCTTGGTTGTCCTCACTATGTTACACACAGTGCCAAGAAGAAACACAAGCACATCCACACAAATTATGTAGCACTTACCATACGTGAGGAGCTCTTCAGGCACTTTACACGTTCTAATCCTTTTCATCTTCCCCATAAATTAGGTGCTATAACTTGTCTTTACTTCACAAATGGAAAAAAAAAAAACTGCTACAGAGAATGTGAAGGTCCCGCCTAGAATCACATAGCAGCTAAGTGGTGAACCTGGGATTTAGATGTAGCAGTTTTAATTTTAGAGTCATGTTCTTTATCAATACATGATGTTATTACCCCTTCATGGACAAAGTGCTTTCTGCTTTAAAACTCTTGTTTAATTTCCAAATCATTCCAAAGATCTTGTATTCAAACCATGCCTGGATTGTTCTACTCTCCCACCTCATGTTTTACACTTTTCATGATTTATTTATTTTCTTAGCATTATTCTTAGGGAACCCTTCTATTAATTCCAAGAAAACACTATTAATTCCTTCACAGTATGCAGTTTTCTGTTAATAACATTTGTCATGGATGAAATTCTTCATTGCTTTTGGAACTTCTTTGTTAATTTGTGCTTGATCCACTATAGGATAAAATGGAAAAATTATACCTTATGTATTTTATAGTATGGAATACATACAATACTTAACAAATACTGAAAATAAATACAAGAATAAAAAAGAGAAAAAAGAAGCAAAGCCATTCTTATAGCTGAAAAGCTCTGTAAGGAATATTTTAGAACAATCTCATTTCCAGATAAGAAACCCTTTTTATACCATTTGTCTTGTGTCATCATTCTTTCTTACTGAACAGATCAATGGATGAACTCAATCTCAAGAAAAATCTACTCCATTGCTGGGCAACTTTGAACATTATAGTTGTCCCCATCTATGAAGAGCGAATTCCAACACCCACAGTGAATACCTGACCCACACAATATCAAGCCATACATGTGCTGGGGTTTGCTTGTGCATATATACCTATGATAAAGTTTAACTTATACAATTGGGCACAGTAAAAGAGTCATAACAAGTAATAATAAAAAGAGCTACAGTGCACAGCCATGAAGTCGCAGGTCAAAGATCCTGGCCTCAGTTATTTCATCAGAACCTAACTAATAATTGTGCAAGGAAACTCTACAATTTCAGGGAAACTGTAAATATCCTACACAGTTATTTTTTGGTGGGAGGTTTGTAAGTAGCCAATGCAAGAGTGATATTGAGTTCTTCTTTCTGCTGATTGACTCCTGCCCTGTAATGCATCTCTGACAGATGCATCTGCATTCCCGCATCATAGCAGGATCAGGTGTTTAGCCTTTGTTCTTCTTAAAGCCTTAAGATCCCTAAGATGCAGCCAAAACTCTGTGAAGCTCTAAGGCTCTATTAATACAGCATTCATTGAATAAAAATGCATAACTACAGGAGACAACATATTTCTGACAATATCTGGAATTCACAGTTTTTCCACAAGTGGCAGGTGCTCTAGGAATATAACCCCTGCAAACTTCTGGGCTTCAATGTATAACAATATACTATAGCAAAAGTTATGCAAATGTGGCATCTCATAAAACATCTTACTTATTCACCCTTCTCATCATGACACAAAATGATTTAATGCCTACAGGATAGGATGAATAGTGGTGAAGTGTACATTTATTACATAAGTAGCTTAAGTCTACTGCATAAGGATTGCTTAACCACAAGCACAGTGATACTGTGAGGGCAGATCTGATAATTCAAATGGCTTCTAAGCATTCAAGGGAGGGTAGGGCATACAACTCAGATACGCTGAGCAAGGGGGTGATCCATGTGGCGTTGAGCTGGATAGTGGAAATATCTTTTAAAATTATGTATTGTATATTTCCAGATTACAGTTGACCATAGGTAACTTAAAATATAGAAATTAAACCTATAGATAAGTGAGAAATAACTACATGAGAAAATCTGTCTGTACCTATTGCTAAAATATGACTCCTTAGAATTTTAGCTATAAGTTCTACTGTTCAGTTTTGAGCCTCTTGAAATATGTTTTCACATGATAAGTTTTTAAATACTTAACGTTATTCTGCTTCCCACCATATATACTTTTTTCCAAGTCTACCAATATCTAATAACCTGTGCCTATGAGATAAAATTATATATGATGTAATTTTCATAATTCTGTTTACATGCACTGAGTTATTTTTTAAAATATTTATCTTCTGACTGCAAATTAATTTGATTACGTGCCTTCAGGCAGCGTTTCAGAAACTACTAAAATATGAAGACCGGTTCTCCTTTACATCCAAATTAGTTTTGGCGGGAACATACATAATACTGCACATATTATTTTTCTGAGAATTCACAATGTCAAAAGCCATAAATGTTTGAGGGTCTTTGCAGTAATCTATTAACATTTTTAAATCTTTTGATCCTGAGTATATAATCCTATTTAGGAGTGAAATAGATCAAACTTTATAGGGTTTTTGAGAAAGCTATTTGGAAAACATATATAACAGCATGAATTAATCTCTCTGGAATATTTATTGTTAATAGCACATATGTTACAAAACTAGCAGGTTTAAGTATACTTTATTACATAATGACACACTGGGTTACTTTTTTAACTCACGAGAAACAGTATGTAAAATAAGAAGAATATAATATTTCCCCTATGTTTACAGGAAGAATAAGGAAAACTATGCTAGAAAAAACATGTTTCCATATATTCATACTAGAAAAATCCAAATAACTGTTAGTATGGCACTTTTTGTTATTATATGTCCCTAAATAAAACTTGAGAGTAATTTTTTCAAAACATATATTTTATTTGATTTGTTAAAAAGCCTTTGGTCCCCTTACTTATAAAATCCAAAAATCAAGAGCAAAATAAGAATTGAATAATTTGCAATTCCAAGTGTTAAAACATGACTGTGAGAAAGGCTTTGTAATAAATGTTAAATTTTGAACCCCTTTAATTGCTAGAAAACATAGTATTCTATGTCTAAGAGAAACAGTTATAAAATAATGGTGAATTTTAGATGTCCTCTGCTTTGTTATTCAGTATTAAAGGACAAAATATCCCTTTTCGTGAAGTACTGGAGTCATTTCATACCCATTCTTCAGTTAAACGCCAAAATTGCATGCTCCAAGTCCATTCAGCAATCTGCATATGTTTCATCATAATCACAATAAAGAAAAATTTCATTTGCTCCCAATCTTCCTACATCAGCTTTGATTCCTGTATTTATACTGTAAATATAGCACCCACATAATTAATTTTGAACATACAATATGTCCTCATTTTCATAATGTAAATGTATTTCTTGATATTAATCAGCTGTAAAAGAAACACAATAACTATCTTTGAGTTGATAAAATACCTTAACTCTGTGTCTGATTTATTAATTGGGAAGCAAATTAATACAAGTTGCACTGGATGCCGCTGGCAGAAGCACAGAAGCACGTTTGTATACAGAAAAAAAATAAGCTGCACACATGAAAATGGCGGCCAAGAGCAGATGGAAATTTGAGCTCATTTAAAAGCTCATTCTGGAATTGCTAAAGATGTACTTAAACAATGACAGCCTGAAGAAGCTTGAAGCATGTCATTAAATCCATTGGGATAGGTGGTTTAATTTCATTTCCATCCAGCCGGAGGTAGCTCAGTTGAGGTCCATGAAGGAAAACATCTTGTTCTGCATGCAGTGTGGTAGGAGTAGGACATATCATAGTGACATTCACACCTACGGAGTCAAAGATAGCATAAATGATTAATTGGGACACAAGAAAGAGTAGAGGCTCAAAGAACAAGAAACTACCACAGCAGCCCTAAAGAAAGTCTAGTGGCATGAAGAATAAAAGTGATGGAGAAACAGGCCACTCTTTTTGTAAAATAGTGATTGCCTACACCTGTTTTATGAAAGTAACCTGGTAAAAGTGTGCAACCGATGTGCAGTCATGTCACTCTATGGCCAGCTATATTTGTTATAGAACACTAGAAAGAAAGTATTATTAAGAGCCCTACTGTAAACAAAGGTATATGAGACATATTACCTTTCATTTAAGCTCCCTGGTGTGATAAAACATGTTTAAACTGCTATAGGATGAGACAGAGATGGAGACCGCTATTCATACCTGGCACTGAAAGATTGGGTAGGAACCAGGTTGAATGGATGGTTAGATGAGGGGACGGATGAGGAGGGTCAATCCAAGGTAAGAATCCACTGGAAGAATAGAAGAATCAAAGCCAGGGGATATTCCATCAAACATGTCAACATGGGTAAGATTGGAGAAACTGTTCACCTGCCCTTGACCAGAGCCTGAGGCATCAGTGCCTAATCTGAGATTTCGGAGTGTCCCCCAGAGAGATGATGTGTTACACTAGCAAAATTCAGAGAAGTGCATAGCTGCTGGTCTCAACCATGAATCCACATACTGTACTGCCTTTAGATTTCTTCCTGAAGCTACTCTGAGCAAGAATTTCTCTTACTTAGACCCATTTTATTTGGGCAATGCCTCTTGTCTCTGCCTTTTTGATACATACACATTCTATTTTTTGGAAAGATTTTATGATGACAGCAAGGTTGCTTTGCTTGAACTTTGTGCCATTTTGTGAATTTAACAATGAAACACTTGTAGCTATCAAAGTTGTGATTTTAAAGTTTTTCTCCTACATTTTCATTTTATAATTACACAGACTTTATCAGCCAATATTATTCCTCCTGCCTGGGTGTTATGGGAGAAGTGGTCTTAGCCTAGTCTTTCTCTTGCTACACGGAGTCCCCTGGCTTGTGGAGAGAATCATCCCTTTCTGTGTGCAGTCTATCTCTTTACCACCCTCTCACCTCAAAACTGATGCATGTCTGAATAGGTAGAATATGAGAAACCACTATTCCAACTTTAATTATTTTTCAGGAATTAATAATGATGTTTCTCAGAGAATGCCAGGAAGTAAATTGAATAGACAAAATATGTAACAAATTTTTAAGGCCCTTAAAATATTCAGAAGAAATGACTGTTTCAATCATATTTCAATTATATGCTATTTTAATCAAAATTAGCTGATAAATTCTGAGGCTTCCTCATATAAAATATACGTTTACTTAAAACTGTTTTATTAACAGCTTAGTTATGAGGTAGAAAGACCTGAAAGTGCTTTGCCAGTTATGATAACAGTGTGGTACAGTTATAAACCAATAATTACAACTGGGGAAATTTTATTTTACAAGTACTTCTTTGGAATAGAGAAATAGCCACATTTTATATCTATATGGACAAACAAATGACTGAATTTTGAGGGGAGAGTATCAGGAGTTGAACTCAGGACCGCATACTTGCCAGTCAGGCGCTGTGCCACTGAGCTATATCCCTGGCCCATGGCTGAAATTTTTAACAATATTGTTTTTCTGCTTTTAGAAATTCTTTTTAAAGTCTTATGTTCAATGAGATTGAAAACAAGATACATGTATTAGATGAGTAGAAATTTTAGTTCATTTTACTTAAAATGAGAAGCCCTAATCTCAAGTTCTGGCAATTGTCCTTCAGCGATTATCCTCTCCTGGTTGAGCTATAGTTTCTCCTTTGTGGAAATTTTTAATATTATCATAGAAGGCTCCTACAAGAATAAGTGGTTCCCAAGTCATGCGCCCACAGCATTAACACTCCCAGAAATTAAATATTTAAGCCTCTGCTCAGATCTACTGAGTCAAACCCACTTGCAGTTGGACAGAACAACCTGTGCTTTATAAGCCTTCCATGTGATTCTGAAAAACACTACGAAAAGAAAAAACTGAAAAATAGAAATGTCTGAGCAAGCACTTTGAAATGCCTCTAAAACACTGGTGGAGGAAGGACAGAGCGCTCTACATGTTAATTGTGCTTTGATATGCTGTCTCACTCCTAAATGTGCACATTCTCAAATTGCCTGGGTGGAATATCCAGTTCATAAACAGGACTCTATGAGAAATCATTTGAAGTTAACTTCCAACATGAGTTGTCTGTAGGTCTTTGCAGTCAGATGAAAAATAGACCTGTAAAAGCACAAAACACTCATCAGGGAAAAATTATACATGTACATAAATATTGCCTATTGACCATTGTACTACTTGGTTCAGATTTCCTATGAACTTTTTTTTTCAGCTGAATCTTTTGTTTTAGAATACAGGATTAAACACTAGATTTCTTTACCGTTGGGGGGGGGAAACAGCTATGGTGGCAGTATGCTATTTAATTCCTGGATTTTATGTTCGGCTATGCTGTTATAAAAATCTTGAACAGCCAAGCAGTATCCAGTGGAAAAATAGTCTGTTCTTATAAATCATATATTTATGTGATTATTTGGGTACAGGAAATTTTGGTGCATGAAAGCCAACAAGCAGTACCTTCTGACAATTATTTGTGTACTTTCCTTAGGCTATTTTGACTAACTCTCACTTTAGGTATGTATTTTCTAAAGGCTCAGAGGAGAAGATTCCCCAAGTTATGGTCCTAAAGTGGTTGTACTAGGATTGATGATAAATAGGCAGAATCAATGGCCCTGTGGCTGGACCGAGATAAGTAATCATTTTTACATGGAAGCAGCTTAACCTTGAACATTGTGAAGAGGTCAAGTTTATTTCTGATGTATTTAGCCTTTAATTTTTCTACCTACTTCTTCCTTTTATGATACCTTTGTCTCCAAGGACTTTGTACTCATCTCTCACTCCCATATGAAAAGCTCTCTTCAGGAAAGGACAAAGTATTCTAAAAGACACAAGGATTTAGCAGCTTGCAAGGACATTTAACTTCATTTCAGTCAAGTAAAGTAGTAAATTGCAGTAGTAGTTCTCAATGTGTGATTCCCAAAGCAACAGCATGAGCCTCACCTGAGAACTTGTTAGAAATGGAAATTTTCAAGACAGATACTCTGGCCTAGAGCCACAAACCTGTGCCCAGGGAAGTCTGAGAAACCCTACTTAGAGGTGTTTATTAGAGACTCTAATTAGGGATTTTTCAGGCATGAAATGACCTATAATATTTAGGACACAGTTGACTCCTAAAACCTCTTAAATCATATTACATTTATTCCAAATCATGAGGTTGTTGGTTCCCAGCACACTTTTTAAAACTAATCTTCCTACCAAGACAAACATGACAAAATCTCCTTGACTCAAAGAAGATAAAGAGATGTAGTTTCTCCTACAGACACTGGATTTCTGGTAGATTACTAAGGTCCACTTTCAGACTTTAATTTGAAGGTTTGGACTTAGTTTATTAAGGCTGAAAATAGAAAAAAATAGTAATAAAATTGAAAATACCTTAACCATGAAGGGTATGTTAGATGAGGACAATACAATTGCCATACTTACAGAATATGCAGACAAATGTCAGGAAAAAGGAGGTTCCCTTCTAAGACAGTGACATTTACTTACTTTTAATTTTGTTATGGTCAAGGTGCAGATGCTGCAGGCGGGCACTGATTCGAGGAAACTTTGTGAGTCGATTGTGAGACAGTTGCAGATCTAGAATAGACGACGCATCAAAACCTCTCGATGGGAGGCCTGCATCTGATATTTTGTTGTGATTTAACCTTAGGAAGGCCACTTTCGGGATGACGTTGAAATAATTTTCCGGTATTCCTTCAATGGAATTGTTATCCAGGAAGAGTTGCATTGTATTGGCTGGCAGTCGTGGCGGCATGCTCCTTAGGGCGTTCTTGGCCATATTTAGCTGCATGAGGTTCTTGAGTCCCTTAAAGGTGTCCCTCTGGAAGGCACTGTCTAACAGTTTATTGTGCTGTAGATCCAGAAGGGTCAGGTTTTCCAGGTTGCTGAAGGTCCCTTGAGGAATTCTGGACACCTTGTTTCTAGCTAACTGTAATTGCTCTAAACTTCTTGGCAGTGGGGAAGGTACTTCCTCCAGCTCGTTGTCTTCCAGAAATAAGAAAAGCAGCTTCTTCAGCTGACTTAGGGCTCCTCTCTCAATTCCGTAGTTGGTTATTTTGTTCTTGTTTAAATTGATCCATCTAAGCTGGGTGGCATTCACAAGTGGTTTCTCAGGGATGGTTTCTATCAGGTTGTTTTCAAGGTAGAGATACCAGATTCTTGAAGGAATAGCAGGAATTTCTTTGAGACCTCGATTTTCACAGTACAAAGCAGTAGGAAAACTGGGAGGGCAGAAGCATTCACTGGGACAACTGAAGTCATGCACAGACCAGTCCTCTGGTTCGTACACATCATAGGGCTGTCTCACGCTTTGAGTCCATGCACTATCTGTTACGAGTAACACCCCGATGAGGAAAAACAGTGTGGTGCCCATTATACTGCCTGTAGAATTAGAGATACTACTGTTAGATAGTCAAAGATCTTGGCTCTTAGATAATAGTTTGCAGCAGGATGATCCATACACATCTCTTCTTCAGCAGAGAGGTGGAGAAATCAGCATTTCATTCACAGATATCAATCAATACAAATTTGCTTAGTAGGTACCATGTGCAAAACATTTCACAAACTTCAGAGCTAATTCAATTTGTAACTTTCTGGTTTTAACCCAATCACAATGAAAGCTGAGAAATGGAAAATACATTTTAGCAGATCTAAGTGCTTTTCCATTTCAAGCTGTTTAATTCAAGGGACTTAACTGAAACCAGTAGTGGAATATAGAAGCACAAAAAAATGATCTTTTACTAATACAAGTAGAGAGTCTATGTTGCTCCTCAGCGATAGGCACATGCTTTTGCTTTTAATTCTAAATGAGCAGACCATCTGGAAGTGATTTCCCAGGCTCTTTGGCCCTTGAACCAAAGAAATGAGGAGATCAGGGAATACTTCAGCAGTTTACTATGAAGGAGGGTTCTAGGATCTGAAGAAAGGTGTATGATTAATCTCTTCTGTTACTGAACTTCTCAGGTAAGTTTGACTTTGATGAGAGAAAGACTTCTATAACATTATGACAGAATCAAGCTATTCAGCCAACAAATAGAGGTTTCTTTTATATAATTACTCACTCGCATATATACATGTATATTATATAATCTCCTGTCACTGCATACACACATACACAGCTATATGACAAAGACAGTTTATTACACAGAGATGAATATATCACTTAAGTAAGTGTGGTGCATATCTATTTAGCCATACTTGTGCTTCATAAGATGCAAAACAAAAAATTACAAATTAGGATATAGGAAGAAAATTCTTTTATATTAATATTTGCAGTATGGATAATAATAAAAACAGGTTAATACTTACTGATATGTGATATATTTAAATTCCATAAACCATTCACAATGCATCTCATCAGACATTATAGTTAGAACTATTTTATCTGAAAAAATATACATATCCACACGATATATATATATGTGTTTAAAATGTACTTACATGCTACATAAACATATAAAAGTTAACATTTTAGTCAAAGCACATTTAGTTAAACCAATTGCCACTAAGGATAGACTAAACTATATAGATTCCCTGGGAGAAAGATAAGCAGACATTTGTGAAATGCTGATCTTTCAGTTTTGCTATTAAATTGCATAATGACAAGTTCAGAGCTGCTTTTGCAAGCTGTCAGATTTCCCTACGATTGCAGAGTGCTAATCTGGCCATCTTCCAAAGGAGACTCATTAATTTTCTTTTCTTTTAGGAATAAGGATTTGCTTTAGAGAGTGAAGTTAAAGCCTTGCATCTGATAAATCAGAACTCTAAATTGTTAGCTTTAAGCGTTTTAAGAAACATAAAATAGTTTACCTTGCCTTCCAGGAATATACCGTTGAGTCCTGTGTCTGAGTCTGTGATTTACTAAAAATCAGTTGAGAGAGAAAAAAAAAAAAATTGACTTAGTTTTACTTTATGCTGTCAAGCCTTCCACGAGAAAAAGTCAAACCTGCTCTGACCAGTCCCCAAGAACACCTATTGATGTATTGTTTTCCCTTTGCCAGAGCTTCAGAAGACAGCTTACCTCAGTCCTCTTGGATCTTCTTCTTCCTTTTCTATTGGCCAGTGCTTGTTCACAGTAATGGACTGACCCGGGCACCACTGTCGTGCTTGTGGGAATCCTCTGTAATATATGGGTGCCAGTGGTTCCAACTTTAACTCCTCCAATAAACACAACAGCTTGGTACCTAGGCAGCCCAGCAAAGGAAAGTCTTATTTTAATTTCCAGAAACTATAAAAGCACTCAGCATAATTTCCACTCCTGATTCACAACTCCAAAGATGTAGTACTGTGCGGATGTATAGAACTGATCCAGCAGCAGGCAACAGAAGGCAGTTTTAATTTCGACTATAACAAAATGAGATTTTTCTCTGCATGATCTTCTTTGAAAAACAAGTACATGCAAGAAAATAAAGGCCAATATCCTCAGTGTATATGGACATATTTTATTTGTTTCTAATATGAAACAGATGCTGACATGTATTTGATTAAGAAAAAAAGAGATAGAAATATATATTTGAAAAATTTAAAACTCTTCTTTTCAGAAACCATGTCCAATTTTGGCACTAACCTGGTAATATACTTTGCATTCTAGAAGTAAATTTTGTATTTATGTTTGCTATTCTTTTAGTAATTTATTAAATGACTTATTAACATGAAATGAATTTTGCCTTTAGCATCACACATGTTTTGCATTTAGTGTCTTATAAGGCATTCTATTGCATTGCTTTTTTTTAACACATGTCTGAGCAAATATGTCTTCCATTTCTTATATTTGAGAAAAAAAATTGCCAGGCCTCTTGAGGAAAGATGCAAACAAAATGTATTTTTTCAGACAGTATTCTGTTGATAATAATAATTTTGTTTTTCAAAATGTATCTTATATTGAGATTAGGGAGGTCAATTTAAATGACCCATTCAATAAGTCTTACAAAATTACTATCAAAGATAGAGCATAGTAAAGAGGAAAAAGCACTGTATTTAAAAGACATTTGTCGGAGACATCTTTTTTACCCTCTAAATAGAGGCAGGTAAATTAGAACTTGCATTTGTTATCTACAATCATAATAATGCATTATCTCACAGAATTAGCGTTAGTTTGTTGTGAATGATTATGTATTTATAACTTTCTCTTTGTTATTAGCGCTATACTCTCAGAAAAATATATTCATGCCAAAGGGCTTTTAGAGACTAACATCTGGTTCACACATAGCTCTTTGTAGCCTTGAGTTGCACTCATCATATTTTAAAGAAGCAACTTGTGTTACAAACTTTCTCATAGCAATTATTTCCTCTCTGCACTGCATTTTTTTCTTTGTCCCTTCCCCCTAGGATATGAACACCAGATGATCTTCAGACCTGCACAAGCCCTTCTATTCTCTTCTCTTAATTTTTTGTTAGCCAAACTAATTTCAATCATTTCTTAATTTTATTGCACAAGTGTTGTTACATGATTGCGGAAAAATTAGAGTAATATACTTGCTTTCTCTGATCTCTTTCCCACTCATAATTCTATTCACTGTTCCACATATCAAAATATGGCTTCCTATTCTATCACTTCCCCAAGGTAGCTTTGACATACATCAACAATGGTCTTTATACGCACTTATCTACTTGGACTATATCCTTTGGTAATACTGACCCACTACCTTTATCAAATGTTCCTCTAAGTTTATCTGATGTCATTTTCTTTTGTAGTTTCCTACCCCTTTTTGGTGATTTCTCTTTGTATCTTGAAGCTTTCCTTTCCCGCTTTCTAACATTTTATTTAAAAAGAACTATTTTCTAACATCGGGAGCTCTCTGAGATTTTGTCTTTTGTGCTCTTCTTGCGGCCTACACATTTCATGCATGATTACGTGGTTTGAATTATTCTCTTTTATGAAGATTTCTGAACCCATATTTCCAAACAAATCTCAGAGCAGGAGCTGCACTCTAACGTAAGTTTGTCTATCTGCTTTCTAGACATCTATTGAGTACTCTGAGCTCACATACTTAAAATGAGATTCACTATCTCCAATTATGTCTGACTGTTCTTGTCACTTTATATTTCTGAGTGATATTACCACTCTACTAAGTCTCCCAAAACAGAAATCTGGAAATCATTCTCCACTCTTCCTCTCATTTTGTGCACATATGATAACAATTGCACTCCAAGGACTCTGGGAGACATGATATAAATAAAAATGACCTTTCAGAACACTTACCAGCTTTGGATGTCATGGGTTCCAAACTAAAAACATAGAATGTTTTTCCCTATTAGGATAATCTTTTTATTTCCCTACAATAATCCCATCTGCCTTCTTCTGACCATTGATTCCTGGAGGATGAGACTAATTATTTATTCAGTGTTTACTGAATGAATAAATGAAGAAAGAAATATTTAAGGTAGATGTATCATTTGTCATTCATGATTTTTAAAAGCGAATTCTTCTGTAAGTAGGAAAAGGTGATGACTCTTGGGTATATGGTTTAAATTTGTGTTTTTCTTTTGCACCTTACTAATTTTTTGACCTTAAACAGGTCATTAAACCCTCGTGATTGTATGTCTTCCTATAATGCACTTGCCCTGTTTACTGTGCAGCGCCATTTGAAGATCAAATGAGATAATAGGAATGAACATGTTGTACAATTCTAAAACTATTTTGTATTCAAAGTGGTAAAGCACAAGGATAATTTAGAACTCATATATTCAAACTATCTGTTTTTGCTTATGAGGAAAATGACACTAGAATTTTGTTTCTAACAGAGAGGGCAAGGGTTGACTTTCCTAATTACCCACCAGAGGTCCCTGCAGAAACTTAAATGAGATAAAGTATTGTTGTTATAGTTACTTTAACCTATTTTCTTCATTTTAGCACCTTTAAATGTCATATTTTGGTCCCTATAGGTTCTGTGAAAAGGGAAACCACTTTGCTGAACTATCTCACACCAGGGTATTTAGCTCATTGCATTTCTGAAGGTGATGAGTACTTCAAATGAGAAGGCAATAGGCGATGTCATGTAAGCCCCAAAACTGTATTGGATTCCCAGTTTGTTGGTGTGTCAGACATGGACTAGAAATTCTCAGTTGAAGTTCTTCAATGCTTCCAGGATATTGTTTACCTATTTGAACTTTTGCTAGGAGGAATGACTTTTTTTTCCTTAGCAGAAAACTTTTGGTTAAACTGAATGGTATTAAGTGGTTAAATGATATAAAAAGGTTTCACTAACATATATAGTTTACACTCAGAAACATAGTTTAAACTTTTGTCAAGACAATGTATTTAAAGTACTATGAAATACACTTGAAAGGTCCAAAATCATCACAAATATAGCTATACAGACAAAGATAGCCACCTCAGACCTGCCAGTAGAAGCCACACTCCCAATAGTCCGTTATTTCTAATTCTGTCACAGATTTATTCTAGTATTTAACCTTCTTGCTTGTAGTTTTGATTTATCCATTTTGGGTATATTTTCGCTTGTTAGATAAGAATATGGCATCATTGTCCAACCTCATTCCTTACCATGCCTATATCTGTAATTTCCAATAAACTTTGATTAAATAAATAAGGAAAGATTTATATATAGCTCTCATTAACTATGAAGCAACTTAAATGTCTCATTAAAGAATCCGATAATTGTGATCTGCCAAATTAGCTTAGGTTGATGAGCAACAAAAATTAAATTACATTGACGTAGGAGAATGTAACTTTCCAGAGGAAATATCTGCGAGGAGGGAAAAATCAGTGAAACTCGTATATCTGATTTCATTTTTAAACCTTTTTATAAAATTCTAAGTGTCTTAAAATGTTAACTGAGTTATTCTTGCAATAGCCTTCCAAAGAGCCATAGTTGTCCAAGGTCTCCCTAGTGGTCAATGGTATAACATGCACATAGAGTACGTATTGGTCAGTTTTCCCACTGGTGACAAATACAGTTTAATGGCTGTCATACACAGTGTATGGGAGGAAATGATTTGTTTGGTTCACAGTTTCAGAAGATTCAGTCCATGGCTGGCTGACTCCAAGGCAGAAACATCATGGCAGAGGGACACTGCAGAGGGAGACTGCTCAACTACTGGCATACTGAAAGAAACAGAGGGTGGGGGAAGAGCCGGAGGAATAGTCCAGGAACACATGTAATCCCTACATCATGCTCAATGAACCACTTCCTCTGACTAGGTCCCACCTCTCCAAAAATCTCTCAACCAGTCAAATTGATAGTCAGTATTATCACACTGTACTGTATACTGCAGTGCAGCATACTGTAAACTGTATAGTACATACTGTAGAGTACATCTTCATTAAAAGTATTCTTCCTACGTTTACTAAGCATATCTATGTTGGTAAAACTAACAAAAGTAAATCACACTGTCCCTATTAAAATATTGTATTTTTAAGTACAGTATGGATGATAAAATTTTGCTTCCTGGGCCTGCAGTGTGAGTTGCTGTATGCCTGGGCTTTCTTTTCTCTATCTCCTGCGTTACATTTCTTATTACTGCCTGCATCCTGTGTTCTATTATTTCTTAGTTAACTCCATGTTGTTGGTGAAGCACATAGGCTGACCGCTTCTTGTCACCCCAGTACTATTTATTTGCATTTCCTTTTGAGAACTTACATACTTACAATTGTGTTTATTCAACCCACCAACTTCATGTTTTGACAGTATATAATTGCATTTGGAAGTAACATATCTGCAAAGCTTTGGAAATTAGTTTCGAAACACTTTTGTTGTAACTACTAGAGTTGGGGTTAATGAGGTTGATGAGATTATGATATTTCAGTCTTCAGAATGTGTTCTTTTTTCCCTCTAAAAATGTTTAGGATTTCCTTTTCCTCTTTGGCTTCTGAAATTTTGTTACAAGTTAACTTGTGTTTTCCCCTTGTACACTTGTCATTCAAAGAATGCTTCCAACTTGGAATTTCATATCCACATAGTCCATCTAGGTTTTTCTATTCTTTAGTTTCCCAAATCTCAGGCAGTGAAACCTTGGTTTATA